ACTAAACTTGTTGCACAGTTCATATTTCCTTTTTTTTCTTTCCATGTTGGAAAAAAAAGAGAAAAGATAAACAATGCTTTTGCAAGTTCAGGTAAAAATAAAAATAGATTTAATATTTACAGGATTAAAAAAATACTTACGATTTATACGACCATGAGCTCTGTACGTTCTTCTACGAAGGCAAGGCGCATGATTAACCTGAATATGCTCGATTACAAGGCGATCCACGTCAAGTCCTTTATAATCGGCATTACTCTCTGCATTTTTCAAAAGTTGCAGCAGAAATTCCGCAGATTTTTTAGGCCAACGACCTAAGAAATAAATAGACATTTGCTGTATAAAATAATCATAAATCTAATTAGATCATATATTTAACTTCCCAATAATTTGATTTGATTATCAACGCTTCCATAAACTGAAGTCTTGTGTTCACAATGCTAAAAATTGCTTCAAGAGCATGGATAGAAAAAGAATTAAACAATTTGGCTAATTAATCAATGCGATCAATTTTTTTTTCATTCAAGATCTCAGTTATTTCAAGTATTATAGATATAAGACTTTAGAAATAGTATACATAGAAATTATTTATTAGAATGCTTATACAAGGTAGAGGAGAATTTACGCAACAATAGCAAACCGAAAAAAATAATTGATGTGATTGTTTTCTTAATTTTATATTACCTAGTAATACAAAAATTCTAAATTACTAGAAATTCTGCATTCTGTGTGATGCAATTATAGTAATTCATTAAAATCATGCAATGTAGCAAAAAAACAAGTATTGTGTGTCACAAACTTAATATTATAGCCAATTTGATTGGACACACTAGTGTGCACTGGTGCATAACAAAGTTGTCATACACTGATTTAATTTGAATGTAAAAGTGAAATATAAATATTTTGAATTATAGAATACATATTTTACTTAATAGTACAAAATATATTGATAATTTCACGGTTTAACCCAATTATGTTAAATGTACATCTTTATATCAGTGATTACATTTACATAGTCCAATTTATGCCGTAGTTATAATATCGAGTATTATAACTACTGATATATAGCGTTACATATAAACGCTATTTTAATAAAAGCTATTACATCGATGTAAAAAAAACATAAATGATTGCGATTATAACTTTGACATAAATCGTGTAAATGTAACCTACAAGTTCATTTTGCTTATTGACTTATTAACATTCTTTTATTCTTTTAGCCCAATGGAAATAAAATAAACCTAAACATATAAACGCGACTGATTTAAATAAGAATTATAACATCAATATTATTAAATCAAAGATAAAAAGTCATGTAAATATACTAAATTTGTACCACTTTAATATACATCAGTGTGCACTAAGTGCATCCAATCACATTCTCTATTAAAGAAACAAAAAACATAATCCCCTATTATGTTTTTTGTCAGCTCAATTGTTTTAATGAACAAAGAAGTTTCACACTTCATAGATATATTATTTGTGCGACGTCTTCTACGTTTGACTTCTACTGCCCGTATTCTTTCCAGTTCTTCAACTGTTTTTACAATGGTAAATGTTTCAGAATGTTAGAGCCATGATATACACAAAAATTTAAGCACACACACAATAAAACATAAGCAATAAATAAACCACTCATAATAGAGATCATAAGAACATAACGTAAGTAGCAAATCTAACATATTGATTTTCTTACTGTTTACATCTTACTGTTTAAAATTTTCTGTATGCCTTATGTAGTATGTGGCTCTTACTAGTTCACTGATGTTGACATACCTTGCGTAGTGCCAAACTGTTTGGCTTGAGCACACCTGCCGACACCACCATTGAACCTACGGAAAGGAACGCATTCCTTGTGCTCGATGACATTTTTCAGGTACTTCTGCGCCCTCCGCAGGGCCATGCTTTTGATAGCACGCGCTGCCTCATGGGTATTCTGTAGCATATAAGAGATGGCTAATTGTACTCACGTTCGTAAACATTCCTAGGAGAGAACATGGCGTTTGAGGTTATACTTTCTCAAGAGATATTTACCTTGAAATGCACACGAAGATTAGAGCCACGCGCTTTGCATGACTTGGTCTGATTGACTGGCTCGTGAGAATACCGACCCATTGCGTCCTGAAAATACAGACAGATTGATCATGTCTCTCTTCGATTCTGCGCGACTATAAACGTGACGGTCAGCAGCAGTCCGACCTGTGCACGTCACGCCGCGTATTTTTCGCGATTTCGTGGCAATTTTCGCGAATGGACATAACATTTTCTATGACTACGTTGTAGCACCAATTCTGTTACTCAAGAAATTATGTTGCATAAAATGAATACCTCGATGATGAGCTAGATGCGAACGGATTTAACAAACACGATGAGCCGGCTCACACATACCTCTCAATGCCAGAATTTTAAAGGAAACGTCGTCACTTCACTAGCATTCTACTTCCTGTGTGCAATGCCGCCAACTGAAAATCATAGGAATGAACATGGTGGAAGAAACCAAATCCAGGTGTGCTCGTTCTCGAGACGAATTTTGTATATACAGTTCTGTGCAAACATGGCGCGACACCATATGCGCCATTTAAATATTTGCACCGCGATAATTTTGAATTGAAGAGTGACAGCTCGGAAGATTGAAATAAATACTTGCACCAACTTGCCCCGAGATACTATTAAAGATCGTCGGTCCTGAACAAAAGTCGTGATTGTATCAATGGGACACCGGGGAATTGAAGAACGATGACATTACCGACAATTAATAAAATTTACAATTATAAATTAACATAAATATTTCAATAATTTATTATTAAATTTGTGATTTTTTGTTATATAAATGCTGTATAAATAAGTATGCATACTTTTAATACTAT